AAAGTGTGGTGAGTGGTGTTGGAGAGCTTGTTGAGTGTTCCTGGGTACTGATTTAAAGAATAGGGGTAATTCTGGGTTTTAAGTCAATTCTTGTGGCCTTAATAGGAAATCAAGACTTAAAAATGGAGCATTCATTTAATATATATGGGGGGTACTTCAAAAAGTTCATGAAAAAATAGAATTAACTGATAATACAAATCGTTCTATGAAAATTTTGGAGATCCCTGGTGTGTGTGTAATTTTTTTTGTTGTTTTTTGCCTCAAATGTGGGTATGACTAAGAATCTAGAAGACCCCTGTATTAATCCGGGTTCTCCAGAGAGACAGAATCAATAGGATATGTTATAATTATATGAGAGGGATTTATTAGGGGAATAAGCTCACATGGCTATGAAGAAAAGTCCCATGATAGGCTGTCTATAAACTGGATGCCAGTAGTGTGCCTTAGTCCAAGTCCAAAGGCCTCAAAACCAGGGAAGCTGATGGTGTCCTTGGTGTAAGTTCTGGAATCCAGAAGCTGAAGAGTCTCAAGTCTGATGTCCATGGACAGGAGAGAAGAGTGTATCCCAGCTCCAGCGGATCCAGAGAGCGGTTTACCTCTTTCTTCTGTCTCTTTTGTTCTTTCCAGACCCCCAGGATGGTTCCCACCCATACTGAGGGTGGGTCTTTCACACCTAGGCCACTCAGACTCTCATACTAATCTCTGCTGGAAACACCCCCAAGGACACACCTGAAAAAATTGCTTTACCAGTTTTCTCACCATTCCTTCATCTAACCAAGTTGACATTTAGAATTAACCTTCACAGCCCCTGAGCTCTTTAGGTCTTCACTCAGGAATTTGATTTAGCCCCCAAATTTGGATGCACTGCAGAAATCGAAGAGAGAAGTTATGTTTTTTTCCTGAATATGTAAACTGCTATGATGAAATGCGACATGCAGATGGCTTTTTATAGTGTTGGTATACAGGCTGCTCAGTGATGTGTCTATGTAATCAAAAGAAACAACTGTTTTCAGGATCTGAAACACGAAGCTGAGAGGATCAACAACATAAATATACTCGTTTGCACACCGGGTCGGCTTCTTCAACACATGGATGAAACGATATGTTTTCATGCTACCAATCTCCAAATGTTAGGTGAGTCTAACAAATTTCTAATGGAAAAAAACTCATACTGAGGAGAGAGCCATCACATTTTAATGCTATAAATGTTATATTAGATAACTATTATGATTAAAAACAATCTGAGGAATAACTTTTAAGTTTTTTGGCATGTGGGCTCCAAACCTAGAGAATACAACTAGCCCTTTTTTCCTTTTTCTTTCTTTTTTTTTTTTTTCTTTTTAAATATGTACTCTTATATGTGAAATTAGGTACTTCAATATTAGGCATTGCCGAGAGTTTTTTTTATCTGTCACAGCCACTTCTGATCACTGAAACGTCAATTGGCATTTTTTAAAATGAACTTTTTCTGTTTTGCTTGGTAATACTACCTAGTTGATTCTTTTAATCAACTTTTTATTTTTGAATACTTGTAGATTTATGGAAAAGTTACACTGATGGTAAGAGTTCCTTTGTTCCCTTCACCCAGTTTTCCCTAATGTTAACATTTTGCTTAACTATGACATCTTTGTCAAAACTAAGAGTAATATTGGTATGTTATATAAATGCCAGGCTTTATTCAGATTTCACCAGTTTTTCCACTGATGTCTTTTTTATTTTTTTAGGGTCCAATCCAGGATACTACATTGCAATTACCCTAATATATATTTTAAATATTATAGTTCAACTTGCATTTTCTTTTTTAGTTCTTGATGAAGCAGATAGAATCTTGGATATGGGCTTTGCTGATACCATGAATGCTATTATTGAAAATCGTCCCAAGAAACGTCAGACTTTACTTTTCTCAGCAACACAAACCAAATCTGTAAAGGACCTTGCACGCTTGAGTTTGAAAAACCCTGAGTATGTCTGGGTTCATGAGAAAGCAAAATATAGGTATGTACTCTTTGATTCAATTAAAAAAATCAATGTTCTTTTTTAGTTTAAGAATTTGATATTTTAAATTTATGTTTTATAGGAAATAAAACATTTTATGTGTTATTAGATGTGCCAAGCATAGTAAATATATCAGTTAAAATTACTCAAATTTTGGATATATGTTTAATGTGAGAATGCTCTAAAGCAGCATTTCCCAAAATGTGGTTTGGGAACATAATTTTTTCTATACTGGTTTGGGGACATAATTTTTTCTATAAGATGTTAACAGGTATTTTACCATTTACCAACTCTTCTCTCCTCCCACCACTCCCCCAGATAAATGAGAGAGGGGATAAATTCCTGGATAGATAAATAGCAAATGTTGAGTCAAAGTGAAACAGTTTTTTTTTATGTCAAGATTTCTCAGAACCTTTAATGTTTTCATGGACGTTGTGACTTCCCAAAGCAGTGGGAGGTAGATACAGCTTGCTACATTTACCAAAATTATTTGAGTACGTAATCATTCTTTGGCAGTATTATGCAAGACTAATGTGCTATGGAGAACATTTTATCAAATGCATTAAGATTTAGCAAAATATCTTTGTTTAAAATTGTTTTAGCATCTGTTATTTTGTCTTGGTTTCACTAAAAACTGGAGAGTAAAATATGTGTGTTTATGTGACAGTAAAGTGTGTGTGTTAGTGGTATGCAAATGGTTGAGGGAAACTGTATTTCGATATGACAATTGGAAGTATATGTATATTGTATTACGCAAGACTAATGTGCTATGGAGAACATTTTATCAAATGCATTAAGATTTAGCAAAATATCTTTGTTTAAAATTGTTTTAGCATCTGTTATTTTGTCTTGGTTTCACTAAAAACTGGAGAGTAAAATATGTGTGTTTATGTGACAGTAAAGTGTGTGTGTTAGTGGTATGCAAATGGTTGAGGGAAACTGTATTTCGATATGACAATTGGAAGTATATGTATATTGGGTATGAATCATTATAGGTTATGGACATACTTGACTTCCAGAAGAAATGTTTTCCAGTGATAATATAATGATATTGATAATATAATGTCTAACTATCTAAGTCTTTTGATTTTTCTCCTTTGTTCTTTTTGCTGNAGGCTGCTCAGTGATGTGTCTATGTAATCAAAAGAAACAACTGTTTTCAGGATCTGAAACATGAAGCTGAGAGGATTAACACCGTAAATATACTTGTTTGCACACTGGGTCGGCTTCTTCAACACATGGATGAAACGATATGTTTTCATGCTACTAATCTCCAAATGTAGGTGAGTCTAACAAATTTCTAATGGAAAAAAACTCAGACTGAGGAGAGAGCCATCACATTTTAATGATATAAATGTTATATTATTATTATGATTAAAAACAATCTGAGGAATAACTTTAAAGCTTTTTGGCATGTGGGCTCCAAACCTAGAGAATACAACTAGCCCTTTTTTTCTTTTTCTTT